ACTCCCCATTGTCCCCAGGACCCTAGGTATGATTCAGCAGGACAGCAGGAAGAGAGAGGAGAAAGACAGGAAGAGACCACGCCCATGCCCTTCCCCTTTGTCCCTCTTTTCCTGATCCTCCGTATGCAGGCCACCTGCGCTGCCAGCCCTTCGACTGGTGCTGGTCCTTGACTCAGAGGAACTCTAAAGAGAGAATCGCTGGCCACTGTGTGCTGGGGCCGCAGCCGTGGGCCACACTCAGGGCATGAGACAATCTCTGCTCCCGGCTCTGGGGAGCAGCAACTCCTCCACTTCCCTCATTACACTCAGAATCTTCCCGATTGAACAAAAGAGGCTTCAAAGCCCTGTTTCCCTTTTTAGCCAATAACTCTCTGAGAAACTGAATTTGTTTGTAATTTGTTAATGTAGAACCTTAGAACCCGGACATACTGATCATTTGATCAACTTCCTGATACAGATAGATGCTAGAGCCCCGCTTCAACCTGCCTGAGCAACGAAAACAATTGTGTGCAATTAATGCTCGTAAAACACAATCTTCTGTTGTAATTCTTCTGTATCAATACATATTCTTAAATAGAACACTTTTTTAAAAAGTCAATAGAAAGTTGCCCATGGCCCTTCCTTAGGAGGGACTGCTCTTTGTCCTGAAAACATATATTTCCTATATATTTGGTATCGAAATGTCTTCTTGTTTATGAAATGTTGCTGATAGTAAATTTCTTTTTCTTTTCTTTTTTTTTGAGTTGGAGTCTCACTCCATCTCTGGAGTGCAGTGGCACGCTCACCGCCACCCTAGCGTCGACCTGCTGGTCTCCAGCCATCCGTCTGCCTCAGCCCTCCAAGTAACTGGAACTACAGGCACGTGCTACCACGCCCGGCTAATTTTTTATTTATTGTAGAGACAAGGTCTCGCCAAATTGCCCGGACTGATCTCGAACCCATGGGTTCAGGCAACTTACTTGTCTCAGCCTCCCAAAGTGCTGGGATTACAGGCTGAGCCACCAAGCCCAGCCAATAATAAATTTTAAAAATATTTTTATTTGGTGAAATAAAATGCTGGCAAGCTCCTTTCAGTCTTACGTACTTTTCGTTCTGCTCATGCCTGTCTTATGTACTCGGTCAAAGGGCACTGAGAAGCTGTCGTTTCAATTGTTGGAATTTTGATCCTTTTATCTGGGCACTGTCCTACCCAGCCCACAGTGGCATTCCAAGATGGCACTTTCCCAGGTCCTGGGCCACCCCTTCAGGCAGAGAGCCGTATTTCCCCACCATGTCATGGTGCTAAGCAGAGGGGCCAACTTCATTTGTTCTGCGTTTCCAAGGAGCATGAGCCCTGCGGAGCATCAGGGCTGCACCCCAGCAGTCAGGCCCACCACGTGGCAGGAGTCTCAGGGGACTTGGGCTGCTTCACAAAGACCCAGCATTGAAACGCGATCCCCTGAAGACATGCAGGGGAGAAAGGTCATCTAGTACTGGTGAGAGCTGGTGCTAGGTACTTGGAGAAATAGGGAAGCAAGAATCCACAAGGTCCCTGCTCTGTTGAAATCTACAACATCATTGGACAAAAAAGATAATCACCCAAATATTCAGAAACAGCAGGAGGCAAGAAATTATAAATACCACGAGGCCAGGAGTGGCTCACGCCTATAATCCCAGCACTTTGGGAGACTGAGATGAGATGATTGCCTGAGCCTGTGGGTTCAAGACCAGCTTGGGCAACTTGGTAAGACCTCATCTCCACAGTAAATCAAAAAATTAGCTGGGCATGGTGGTGTGTGCCTGTAGTTCCAGCTACTTGGAAGACTGAGGTGGAAGGATCGCCTAACCCAGTAGGTCGAGGCTGCAGTGGCTGAGAGTGTGCCACTGCCCTCCAGTCTGAGTGACAGAGTGAGGCCCTGCTCAAAAATAAATAAACACGGGAAAAGGATTTTTTTTTAAGTTGGAAAATAAACAGGTCATTTCTGGGTAGATCATGGTGGTAAAGAGAATATCCCAGGGTCCCACTGCTGGCTTGACCCCTCACTAGCTGTGGGACTGCTCTGCCTGTAGGTTCCGTGTGATGGCTCTCTGTTCCCATAATCTTCTGTCAAGTGGGAGTAACAATTGTACCTATCTCACACAGTTGTTAGGAAGATAGTGAGCACTCATGAAATATTAACCTTTGTCCTCATTCTAAACAGGGTGACATTGAAGAAGGCAAATGTAAGGCAAGTTTAGAAAGTCACCCTTGCCAGGCTCGGTGGCTCAGCCTGTAATCCCGCACCTTTGGGAGGCTGAGGTGAGTGGATTGCCTGAGCCCGCGGGTTCAAGACCCGCCTGGGCAGTGAGACCTCATCTCTACAATAAATCAAAAAATCAGCCGGGCGTGGTAGCGCGCGCCTGTAATTTCGGCTACTCGGAAGGCTGAGGCGGAAGGATTGCTGGAGCCCAGCAGACGAGGCTGTGGTGGCCAGGAGTGGCCACTCCAGTCTGGGCGACCGAGTGAGACTCTGACTCAAAAAAAATAAAGTCACCCTTTCTGGCTAAAGGGGAAAAGTAGGGTTAATCCCAGAGAGAAATCTGGATATTTAAAGAAAAGACTTTAAACATAGGGATCTCAAGGATAAGTGATGTTCGGAGGATGGTCATCCTATGTTCACTTTTAGGAATGATATGTCAGAGGTAACAGCAGGGCTTTGGGGTCAGGCTGTGATGTGGGAAGTTGGAAATATTCTGGGGCAAGGAACAAGGCCGGTGTCAGAGAGAGAGAGACATCTGCAAGCCTTCTGAACTGATTGGAGGTCCATTGGAGATGCTCAGGTGTGTGTGTCAATGAATGAATGGAAGTGGATGAAAGCTGTGGGTATAAGTGAGACCCTCGTGGGAAGGAAGAGTTGAGGGAAGAGGAAGGGGCCATCGTGAAACTTGATCAAGACCATCAGTCCCTGAAGAGGAGGCTGATATGGAACAGGGGTTTCCTGTCCCTGGAAACTCTCCTTCACAATCTCACTTCTGCCCTCCATCACTAGACTAGGCATCACAGTTCCCTTCACACATCCATCTTCTGTGGACCTCCAGGGAATATGTTGCAGGCCCAGATCACCTTCTGGACCTCACCAGCTCTCCGCACCACACCCACCACCATAGTTCATGAAGAAAGCTTCAGGTGGCCACAGGCAAAGCGAATGAGCTGTGTGGTATGGCAGCCAAGAGGGCTGAGGGACTCAATTCCCATGATCAGAAAGATGATGTCCCGTGAAAGAGTACGAGCCCTGCTAGATTCTACACGGGTCCCACACACCTGCCTTGGAGGAGGAATGTGGACCAACCAACATGTGTAGAGTTTTCACTGTGTCCCAAGAGGGGCCCTGGAGAAAAGCAGATGATGGGGAGATGGGAGTATGGGCTGTCCTCTAGTACTTATAGGCCTGGTCCATGAGAGAGGAGGGGCTCATGCAGCCCTAGAGGTGAAGAACCAGGAGTGATACCCAGAAACCTGGAGGTAACCAGCTAAACGTGAAATTTTTCCATGGACTGCAAACACAAGTTGGATAGATAAGAGCTTCGCATCCAGAGGTAGATGCCCTCTCTTCTGCATCAGCAGTTGTTCAGGTGGATGTATCCAAAACAGTCTGTGTCTGCCACTTGGGGATGTCTGAAAAGTATAGTACAGACAAAAACATGAAATGGTAATCTGCATAATAAGCCCTTCCCTACTGAGACCATCCTTCTGTTGAAAGAGGCAAATGGGGTTGCAATGAGTAGGACATGGGGTGCAGAGAGAGAGTAGATCACTCTAATGAAAGAAGGACTTGGGGCGACCAGGAGAAAAGAACTATCCAGGACGGAGGGATTCAATAGCTCAGTGATTGGAGAACTCTGTGGCATTTTTGAAGGTAAAATGAAAAAGGAAGGAGCAAGATTATTGAGCTACTAACATGGGAGGAGGGAAGACACTTAGACTGGATATGTAGTGTATGATGTGGTGTTAAATCCACTCTTCTTTGTCCTTGAGAGGACATGAAATGCTTTTTTTAAAATGCAGATATTAGCATGATGACACAGACCAAGACAGAACCACAAAAGCCCACTTTTACTTGGGTTGCCTATGGGTTTTCTCAGAAAATGCCAACAGGGTCACTGTTACCATCAGGTTCTCTTGGGTTCATTTGGAAACAAAAAAATGGAGGAACCATAGCAATAGTCTCTCAGCCTCTTGCCAATCTTCAGCTTCCAAGGGCCTCTTCATGGCCACTGGCACCATGATTTCCTCTAGTCACAGGGACTCAGAGGGCAGGCAGGGGATCTCCCTACCCTTCCTACAGGGAAGCATGGGTTGTACTGCGTGCCAGCCTGCTTTCTCTGGTCTCACCCTGTGTGACATCAGAGCTCGCTGGAGCTGTGTGATTTTCCCCAGCCATTCTGTTTCCTTCTGACTTTACCTCTTGAGCCCACATGGGCACTGCTCTGCCAATTCCACCCCACGTGTGACTGCTGACAGGTAGGGGGCGGGGGAGTTGCTGGAGGGGCAGTGTCCTTGCTGCCCCTTTCTTGTGGGCATGTGGACCTAGAAGCCCTAGCCTGTGACTCATGGGCTCTGTTGACTAACCAGGAAGGCAGAGTAGTCACTAGGTGTGGCTCAGCGAGCCCTACCAGGTGGGCTGAGTGCTATGCTGTGACTCCCTTTGCCTGATACCCATCAGTATCCCCTTTCTGAGAGCATTCCCACTCACTGCTCTTGTTTGCCTACAATCTCTCAGCCAGCTTCCTTTCTTTCCCAGCTCTGTCTGCCTCTTTTGTTTTTGCAGAAATCATTTTTCTAAGGAAGAAGTAGGGCACAGAGAGTAGTAATGCCCACATCAGTGGCTCTCTGTTTGCAAAAGTACTCAGTGTCCTCATTTCTGCCCACCCTGCACTCTCAGCACTCCTGACTGCCAGTCCTGGTGTCATGGGACAGCGGGAGGCTCCACCCTCTCCTCTCATCTGCTGTAAGTAAGCCCCTTATGTCTTCTTTCCAGGGTTCCACGGAGAATGAGGCTGTAGCCCCTGAGGAAACTCAGAAGACAGACCCTGCTGTCGAACCAAGGCTCAAAGTGGTGGACTGCGACAAGGTACCTGGCTTGCAACAGAGCGGGATGGTGAAGGGGGTTTTCCGGGGGTCAGGAGAGGGTGTGTAGAGCCAAACGCCACGGTGCGTGTGACGTGTACCCAGAGTTAATGAGGAAGGGGAAGCAGGTGCCCACAGCTCACAGCATGGCCTAGGACATCTAACCCAAGCACGGTCTGTGAGGGCCTCATTGGTGGAAAGTTCAGGAAAATGGCACATGAGGTCTCTGCATGGAGCCAGGCCCCACACACCTATGGAGGAAAATAAATCTTCCACCAGGACTCCTGAAGCTGAGAAGGGGACGATGACAGGGTCAAAGGCCCAGACATGCCCAGTGTGCAAGGCAGAGCTGCCCTGGGCACCTGCAATCGTCTGGAAGTGTCACTGGCCCATACAGGGCATGGGAGCCTGCTGAGTCCAGGCAGGAGGGAGGGCCGCAGCTTCCTCAGCCCATAGGAGAAGCCGAAGGTGTCTGTAGAACCTTATGACAACCCTCTTTTGGTGTCTAGAGACCAGCATCTTGCTGTGGCTCAGCAGACCCCATTTGTGTGTAAGGAGAGCCCTGGGAGAGCCCAGCAGTCCCAGGTGGGAGTGGAGCCCCTGGGGAGGGAGGGGCGGGAGGAGACAGGCTTGGGTCACAGGACTGTCCCAAAGTCATGTTGCCCTTTTTTCCTCTTGGGATAGACATGAGTATGCATGTCTATACATGCCCACCCTGTGTGCCCTCTGCCTACACTGGGCACCAGAGACACAGGAACAAACAGGATAAGGGAGCTCACAACCTGGTGGATGGGACAATAAGCCCCCAACTCCTATCAACAGTTATTACAACAAGAAGTGATACAGGTAGCCTGCCCAGGGAACACACGTGACCAGAGGCGACGGGACAGGGGGACTTTACAAAGTGGAATGTGTCCTGGGCCCCTTTGACCCGAACTCCTGAGATCCTGACCCCAGGAACTCAGAGATGGCACCTGTCACCATCTTGGGATCAGAGGCCTTGGGATCGCCAAGGCCTCTGGGAGGAGCCATCAGTCCATGTTAATGATGCCTTTAGGTTTCCAATCAGAAAGCCTGGAAGAAGTTGTCCCATGCTCCGTGCCCCGTGCCCTCCAGAGAGGCAATAACCAAGGCCTGCCCAGCCACATAGCAAGCTGTGTGAGTGGCTCCCTGAGATGTGGTTTTCTGGTCCCACCCTCTGGTTTGGTTACAATTACTCACCAGCATGGTGCATGGGTGATGCCTGGGACAGGAACCAAGACTAGGGGGAGGTCTTGGTACAAATGGAAGACTTCTCTGGAAGTTTTGGGGAAGCTTGGCTTGCTCTGCACATGGGCACGACAGAAGGGGAACCAGCCCACTCGAGTGGTCAAGGGTCCCGGGAGCTGGTGGAGTCAGGCCTCAACCCTCGAATAGGAGGATCTGGAGGGAGACAAGGAGCATCTGGGGAATGAGAACAGGACCAGAGTGTGAGATGCAGTGTTCCCGGTTGAGGGTATGAGTGGCCAGTGGGTGTTGCTGAACGGAACAGCAAAGAGGTGCCCTTGGGGCAGGCAGCATCTGGGACTTGGCCTTGGGCTTGAATATTGGAGGGAAAATACTCTAAAAAGAGAGCTGACAGCCAGGCTCGGTGGCTCAGCCTGTAATCCTGCACCTTTGGGAGGCTGAGGTGAGTGGAATGCCTGAGCCAGTGAGTTCGAGACCCGCCTGGTCAGGTGAGACCTCATCTCTACAATAAATAAAAAATTAGCCGGACGTGGTAGCGCGCGCCTGTAGTTCTGGCTACTTGGAAGGCTGAGGCGGAAGGATCGCCGGAGCCCAGCAGGTCAAGGCTGTGGTGGCCGGGAGCGGCCACTGCACTCCAGTCTGGGTGACAGGGTGAGACTCCAATTCAAAAAAAAAAAAAGAGCTGACTAGGGCTAGACAAATGTGGCTGCCATTGGGTGGAGTGGCAAGAAAAAAATTGTCCTAGAGGGGAGGAGCTGTGACCCAAGGCTGGCTGGGGATAGGCAGATCCCAAGTTGCCAGCCCTGCTCTGGGGAGGCTTCCTCTCAGTCTCCCTGAGCTGTATTTCAAGGCTGATCCCAGCCCCATCACTGCACAAGGCAAGGGGAGAATCAGCCCAGGAGCTCTTCCACCATCACCTGTGCTCCCACTGAGACAACACCCAAGGAGAAGAGGGGCGCCTTCTCCCCCAGGGCCTGCTCCCTGCTTGGTTCCTGGTCAGCTGTCCAGGCAGCTGATGCCTGACTCACCTTTCCCACCTCTCTTGCATTCTCTCTTTCTCGCCCTGCCCCTTGTGCCCCTGGGTGGTGACAGAGGAACAAGTGCTGACCCTGGAGAGAGTGGAGAGACCCACCCTGGCAGGGGGGCTCCCACCTCACTGGGGTCTGCTTTCTCAGCACCCTGGGAACTTCCAACACAGGGAGCCGGGCTTCTGGGGGAGGGTGAGCGGTGCTTTGCTTTTCTCTTTTCTTTTTTTAACTTTCCAAAAAGGAGTCTTGCTCCTGTCTCTCTCACCACAAGGTCAACCCCAGCTCATTGGCGGGAACCTAGGTCGGGAGAGCCCGCAGGCACTCACCTCACCTGAGCCCTGGATCTGTCCTTGACCCACCCTGGGGACTTGGGTGGGTCCGTTTGGTTCTGACCTTGAGTTGTAGAGGGAGGCCAAGAAGGCAGCAGCTTTGTCTCTGCTGAGGGTCCCCAAGCCCGGGAGTGCAGGGGGTGGGGATTGGATTTGCACACCTGCTCCCGGGGCAGAGGAAGTTGCCAAAATGAACCCTTTGCACTTTGCATTCAGGTGAGTCCTCTGAGTGCTGCTGAGGAAGGGAGTCTTGGGGTCCCAGGGCTCAGCACCCCAGCCCTAGATTCTGGGGGCAGAGGGGACCACGCTGGGAAGAGTGAGAGGACAGTAGGATGGGGTAGCAAGGGCAGAGGGCAGAAGCATCTGAAAAGGCAGCAGGGAGGGGCAGGAAGCAAACTTTGTTGCCCTGCCCTACTCAGAGGTGAGGCATGGGCTGACTTTTGGGCTCTGAGTGGAATTTTACCGGAACAATGTCTAAATCATCACTTTGATCGTCCAGGCAGGCAGGACCCAGGCTTCCTTGTGTGACAAAATATCAGGTTGCAGCTCCTCAGCCTATACATCTTCCCCTGTTTTCTGGAACCCAGTCGGCCTCAGTCCTGCCCTGGATAGGAAGCCAGAGCTGTCCAGGGCTCTTGGCTTGTGGGCACAACTCTCCCTTTGTTCAGAAGCCCTTTTGGGTCACTTCACTGTGTCCTTTCCAGAGTCCTCCCTAGAGAGCCCCCTTCACCCTTCCCACTTTGGGGATCAGCCTCTATTTGGGGAACCAGATGGAGCCGGTATGATTTGGGGGGTTTGCAGAAGTTCCCTGCCCAGATCCTAGTGCAGTTAGCACCGAATTAATAACTCTTTAATTAAGTTCTTACCAGGAGCCAAACACTTTAAATGTATTATCTATGATCTGATTTAAGCCTGCTTACAACACAAGGAGATAAGGATTCTAATGATCCTGATTTAACTGATGAGGAAGAGCTTAAGTCTCCCATCCAGTCACTTCTGGGCAGGTTAAAGGCCCAGCTGGCAGTTATTGTGGTCCTTGACAACTGGCCAGGAGCAAAACCCTGAGGCCTGTGACTGGCAGAGAGGGCTACGAGGGTGGGGGCGGCCGAGCAGGTAGGCATGAAAGATATCTCCAAAGCTGGCCACAGCCTCTTCCCCATCCTCCCTCAGGCTAAGTCAGACACCAGCAAAACCAGCTTCCCTCCAGCTCCACGAGGCCGTCAGTGGGGGTGGCCACCCTCTTCCCTCAAGAGACAGGTAGAATCATCCAGCCAGGTGTGTCACAAAACAAAATGCAGTAGTCAGTTCCCCAAACTCCCAGCCCCTGCTCCCCGCCTGACACATACACACACCACCCTAACGTCAGGGGCTGCTCCAAGGGTTCCCTGGGCCTGCCATTGGGGTAACCTCTTAGGATCCTCAGAGAAGTCAGGAAAATTGTACCTGGATCAGAACAACACACTCTGAAGAAAGACCAACCTCCACGCTGTGGGTGCTGGCCTGGCTCACCTCCGGGCATTCTGTGTCCCCGGTCGCCTTGGCCCCCTTGTACCTCCTTTCTCCCCCCACCCCTCTCTCTCTACTCCTAGAGTGGGGTCTGGAGGACCCAGCATCCACAGGGCCTCCCCAAGAGGACTCACTGGGTTTAGAGTCCATGAGCCTCCTCTCTACCCGCCTCCTTGCCCAGAGCTTCTGGCCACTTTTCAAGGGAATTCAGCAGTGTTCAAAAAATGCCCCAGGGCAGAAGCCAGGCGGGTGGACTCGACACTGCCCTCTACATCCATGATCTCAGAGGATGCCCTGGGAGGGCAGTGAACAGGGCAGGCTAGGAGGCAAGACATGCCGCAGGTTAACCATCGACAGTTCTAGGAGGATGGAGAAAATTATTCCTTCCATCTTATTACTGTGTGGGGTTGCCCAGAGGATCTGATAGCATGTACACAGGGGTATCAGAAAGTGTGCTGTGAGGGAAATACTACCCCACCTGGTTTTAGGATGGGGGCCCAGGGCAAGTAGGATCTCTGCTGGTCTTTGGGCCATGCCAACTTTCTGCACAGTGCTCGGGCCTGCCATCTTTCTTCCCTCCCTGTGTCTCTGGCACCTTCACTCCCTGTTTCCTGTCCACTCTCATCTGCCTGTACCCTCATGGGGTAAGCCTGAGGCCACCTCCCCAGCCCCACATCCCCTGGGCGAGGGGAGGGTCATAGGATTTGGGGGAGGAGGCAGTGGTCCAGAACCACCTCTGTGGACTTGAGCCTGTCCCAGTTAGAATGCACAGGACAGGCCAGCAGCTACCCCAGCAAAGCCACTGAGAACCCCACTGACCGCTGCACTAGACACTGCACTGGGGGTCCTCATAGCCTCTATGCCGAGGAAGTCACTCCATGGAGGTCCCGATTGGGCTGATAGGAGGCCTCCTG